ACTATCCACCAGAGCTTGTATGGCGGGGATGAAAGAATATTATAGGTCACCATAAAACTTTCAAGAAGGAGAAACCCAAATCCCATGTTTAATAAATTTTCTACAGGTACAGCCGAAATTTTGTATTTAAAAAAACGGTAAAAGTTATTTGTCGTACCGAAATCCTAACTAAATCAATTATACATAATTTACTTTCCCTGAAATCTAAAACCTCAATGCAAAAACGGATATAGTGATTAGGTTGTGAAATTTACACACCGTAATCATGGACCAAAGGTACATCACCGTAGAAAAGGGAATATTAACAATTGCAAACTAAAATAGTCTATCTTGTCGTAAATTCGTGTAGATAGTTTCTCGTGTAGAACTAAATTATGCAAACCTCAATCATTGTTTGTAAATCATACATAACAGTATTTTTACGATGATGGGAAAGGTATGTAGCCTTTTATAACTTACATTGACGCATGGTTTATTAATTATAGGAGGCCATACGGTGGCCTACAGTTGTATGTATCCTTGTGTTTTAGACTTTGCTGAATAGTTGTCTTATTGGCAATGTAACCACATCAATATTCAAATGTATACTAGATTTTATCAAATCAACTTGGTGAGTTCTATGATTGTCAACGCGAGATGTTTAGATTTTAGAACTTCAAAATATCAGATTCACCACACTTTTCAAAAATTAAAATATTAACTATCGAGTGTGGAAACATATTGTAGACAATGGGATAAAGTGGTAAAATATGTTTCTGTAATAAAAATGTAATGCAAACAGCCGAGATTAATGCATTTTGCCTTGTATTTGTTCTACTATTACACACAGGGTAATATGTATTGCACTTCAAAACATAAATACTTTCACAAATTCCATGCGACTGTCATAAAAGTGAGAGGTTTAGCTAGCTATAAAACCAGGTTTAATCCACCATTAGCTACATAAGGAAATGTCTGTACCAAGTCAGGAATATACTGACGGACATTAGAAACGAAACACACATTTTGGTATCTTTCTTTTACCAAATTATGATTGATCCTTATAGAACTCCTATGCATGCTTTCAATACTTCTTTGTTTAGAAAAATTCAATACCTGACTTACCTGAAGTTATTGAACATAATGGATTTTTGAAGTCGCACGCATTTCTAAAAGCGTAATTTGAAAACCATAAATGATTTTTTAAGGTTTTTTTTCTGTGAAACAATTCTGTTTATCCATACCCACACTTGAACCATTAAAAACATGTTGCATCTCCATCTTGCTGAGACGCAACGTCATTTTCAAGACAAGTTTTCGACCGCAACGTCAACTGTTTATCAAGTCGTTGAATGCCATGGCAGACAGATTCATGCATAAAATGATTCCTATATACTGAAATTCCAACGAATCGACTGCAGAAAAACTTTTAAAGCCCTAAATTCTAAACCGCTCAGTTGTCAAAACACACTGTAATCCACTATAATGGGACAGAGGCAAACTCGGAAGGTACAAAGCAGAACTCAAAACATGCCCAACATAATTGGTTGACCTTTCTGACAATCCTTTTGGCGTTGGTTATTGGCAGTCATTACCTTCGACGGTGACACATCCATTGATGAGAGGAAAACCAGGGTTTCAGTGCATACCACCTGATTTAAACATTAAAAATTACGTCATCAATTCAACTTTCGATCTTCAAACTTATTTTTTAGACAATAAAGAAATGAATGAAATTTATGATTATACATTTATTTTTACAAAAAAATAATCTAGTTTTGCGTTTTTAAAGTCTGTCAGTATATGGTAGTTGTTTTCCATTCGTTTGATGTGTTTGAGCTTTTGATTTTGCCATTTCTTAAAGGACTGTCCGTTTTGAATTTCCCTTGGAGTTCGGTACTTTTGTTATATTACTTTTTCCATAGAATTCAGATAAATTGAGAGCTGCATATTGCTGTCAAATACAAAATATTTCATGATTTTGTTATCGTCTGTATCAAAAAACATAAATAATTTAATACAATAACTTGTATCGAAAAATCAAAACACAAACAAGACAAAACCTAAACGACATGTAGAGGTCAACATACAGTCTTCAACAAAAGTATGTACATAAAGTCGAGGCGTAAATTGCCTCCTTCTGCAACCAAGTTTACACGAATTCGCACAGATTTCTTTAATATGTTACTATAGTGTCTGTAGGTTGCTTTCTCTAAAACGTGTGTCACATATCTTTCTATCAATCTTTGATATATTTATGTTTGCTTTTAGCAAATACACCAATCTCGGGTGGTTTTTTAGGAATGAATTACACCGGTTGACCCGGGATTAATCGACGTAAACGACGTCTTCGAACAGTCAGTTCTTACCGTGACGTAATAACTTAAGCATTGTGACAGAGGATATTTACGGGAACGTACACGAATTCAAAAGTCGTCTATATAGCAGATTCGGATAATATCTTATTTCATATCATCTAATGCATCCTCCAAATTGAATATGTTTGGTTTCAAAGGAGATGGTTTAACCGTATACCGTATTATTTTATTACTAATATCATGATCATGAGAAAGGATATACTTTCTAAGATAATAGGAAATGAAAAAGTATCTCTTTTATCATAAATTTTGGTATTAAGCTTCCCATGGTCCATATAAAGTTAACTATCATCGGCATTTTGGGTTTTATTAAGTCGTTTTAAAATACATCTTTGTGTTGATTTTTTAATAAATATTTAATAGCAAAATCACAATAGGAAGGTAATTGTTATAATTCCGAATTTTCGTATATAAAACTAGTATGCACGATATCATCATGTACTCATTTTGAGTTTTTCTGATCATTTCATATATTCTTACTATATAAAATTTATGCTAATTGCGATCACATTTAGACTCAAGTCAAACTTATTATAATAGGACAATAATGCTTATGATATACACCTGACATGAAAAATATAAGTGTGCGGTAATAACAAAATCGTTGTTCTAGTGAGTCAAAATATACATTTTCAAGTATTTAAATCAAGCATTTGTTGAAAAGAAAGCAAGTAAAAAGGTTACCTCATGTTAGTGCATACGAATACGAATACGAATACTTTATCAATTATCGACCAATTACAAATAGACATAAGTAAAAAAAAAAAACAAAAAAAACAAACAATAACGATAATGCTCTTGATAATAGGGTTTACCTATAGGAATTGTTTTCTTATTGCAAAACATTTATAACAAGTTAAACCCTCAGTGATGCAATATCTTCATGTTAACAAGAAAGAAACCAACTAAATTTGTTTTCTCTATTTTGATTTTTTAAATTATTACATATCTTTAAAGCAGAATTCAACGTTACTTGTCGTTGTTGTTCGAATACCTGACATTCCATTAGAAAATGAATGTCATCTTCAATTGAATTTGAAACTCAAAATTTACAAATTAGTTTACCTTTGTCTATCTTTCTATAACGACCTTGCTCAATAGCTAATTTATGAGCACTAATTCTCATTTGTGTGATGTACTTTCTAGTTTCAAATGTTTTTACAAAATTTTGATCAGTCTCTCTTTTGAAAATATCCTTAAAATTCAGAATAGGTTCGTACCCTTTTCACTGTAAAAAATTATCTTTCAAAAATTGCATATACCTCTTAATTAATACAAATTTAATTTCATTAACATTTAAATTATGAATATCTACATTCAGCTGGTTTGCAATAAAAAAAATGATGAATACCTTGTTTGGTTTCCATTTTGGTGTAAATAAATGTGATCTGTACGAGTTTGACTTAACAAATGACACTCATTCTTGTCTGATTCTACAAACAAAAATTAATCACTGAACAAATAATATCAATATGAAGTGGAGTACGACCAAGTTCTCCGTAAACTGCTAAATGTGTTGATTTACTATGAACTCCCAGTACATACTTATAAAATTTTCTATACTTTTGCTCTATTTCAATGATCACATCTGTATTGGAAAATATTCGCCATTTCCATTTAAAATTCGGAGATGTGGAATGATTGCCAATGAGACCATTATTCACCAGTGTTGAAATGAAGTGGATGTTAGCAATTGCAGGCACCCGTACGGCCTTCAACGATGAGAAAAAAACCCTAGTCAGCTATGAAAGGCCCCAACATGAAATTGTGAAACAATTCAAACGAGAAAAAAATCAACGGCATAATTTATAAGCACAATTTGCGAAAAACAAATGAGATAGAACTGAAGTGAGCAGACATGACCACGACGACCTCTGAACTACGTACAAGCTCCTGATTTGGGACAGGCACATGAAGAATGTGGCAGGGTTAAGCATGTTTGTGGGCGATCAACTCTCCTCCTTAACTAAGACAATTGTGAAAAAGCATAACATCATAACAAACTGTAATTCACAGTAGCAATTGTCTTAACTCAAAAGATCGGCACGAGGTACAAATACAACTTACATAAGAACAATAGAAAGCAACGCAACGAAATAAGAGTACTCGCATCTACTGAAAGCTTTTCAAAGCAAGTTGCAACTAATACATAATTGTTTATTAAATCAGTGTAGTTAATGATTTTATCATAACCGTTTGGCAAATAGAGCAGAATTGTTACCAATCATTCATCTCCCTTTTTTTGGAGGGCGGCATGTATAATTTTCGGGTCAAACATCTTGTCTTCTCTCTCAAAAAGACAGGACTTATGTTTTCTTTATTATTTCAATTAACTACTCATCTAAATCAAATTTTTGTTTGGAATGTAGAATGAAGCTATTTGTTGACAAATATCATGCCCAACTCATAGAATATGAAAAGTACGTACCTTATTACTAAGTAAATTTAGCCTACTTACTCGTCTGTAAAGTTTAATATATATAAACACAAACTGGATTACTAAATTCTGATAGCACTTTACGTGATTATATATTACACACAAATATAGGGACAATATCCATGATTTTAACGTTAGACATGCCATGATAATCATACTTATTTACTAGTATATTTTTATCAGTTTATGTAGACATTTCTGTTTAGATGGTTGCAATGATGGTCGCTTTGGTGAAAAATGCTCTCAGTCGTGTAGTCAGTGTATGGGTGGAAATTGTAATAGACAAGGTGTTTGTATGTCTGGTTGTACGCCCGGAAAATATGGAATATACTGCAATGTATCCTGTGTTAATAATTGTTTGATATGCCATCCAGTGACTGGCAAGTGTCTTCATGTATCACCTGCATGTAATACCACTCACTGCACAATGAATTTCACGAATTCCATTTGTCCGCCATTAAAATTTGGATTTGATTGCAATCAAACGTGTAGTACAAAATGTATAAATACTTCCTCAAATGGATACATCTGTGAAAAATATAGTGGTACTTGTATAGAAACTTGTGCTTCTGGTCAATTTGGACAATTCTGTAATGACTCTTGTGGTCAATGTGCTTCAGCGGATAACACATTGACGTCGTGTAATCCAGTAAACGGACACTGTATAAACTGTTTGAACGGTTATTACGGGAAAAAATGTGATCAGAAGTGCAGTGAAACGTGCTTAGAAGGAGATTGTAAAGGTAACGGTGTGTGTTCACAAGGATGTAAACCGGAATGGAAAGGTACATTCTGCGAAGGTAAATATAGCACTTTGTACTCAAAAATATAGTTTCAATTTCTACAATGTTCTATGTATGCAAAATAAATAATATGCATGGTTCAGATAAAAGTTACACAAGCAAACATTGCAGGAGAAACTAATCAAAGGCTCGTAGGAGCCTGATAACGGATGCCAATTCCATGTGATAGTTAAAGCTCATAACAACCTTCCACCGTATGAGCTGCAAAGAAAATCAAAACTGACTTTATTTACTTAATTGCTTTACAAGATTGGTGCAGTTTACAGATACTGTCATTGACTGAACATTTCATAAAAGAACGTATTTTACAAACAAAAACAAAAAATCATCATATTAGAAAAACGAGCTATTTAGTGAGGAATTTAGTGTGTTACATGTATTTGTTTCTATGGCAGTTCAAGTTATTCCAAAAAATAATCATTGCGGCTCATTTTTTTAAGAATATTTTTTTTTTTCATATATTTTATCTTTTCTATTATTATTTCAGTAAAAGAACCTGCTAAGCAGACCGGATTGTCCAGTGGTTCAGTGACAGGAATAGCTATTGGATGTGTAGTTGCTGTGATTTTAATAGTCATTTTGGCATATTTCATATATAGACGAAGGTACAGTATGAAATGATTGATATACTTTACCAGATTTCAAAAATTTAAACTATGAGAACAATTATCAAAAATGTTTTGAATAAGCATATTTATCTACTAAAGGATAAAAATCAGATTAAACAAAATATATATTCATGTATATTTTGATATTTGAGGAAAAACTTATGACTGACACATTGCATTTTTGACAATGGTATTGATATAACAGGAAGGTCGTAATTCACATAATATGATAAGCTTAGGAGGCAAGAAGAGAGGCTGGAGACATCAAAGGGATATAGATTACTATAAACTAACATTGTTAAGGATAACAAAATATTTGTTCCTGGAAGGTTATAAGAACACAGCTCTAAAGTGCAAACAAATTAAAACAACACGTTATAAATTTCATGCGTCCGAAGCGCTTTTCTGGATTTACCTTCATCAGGAACGCTCACAGCCGAATATTTGAAAGCCAAGGATGTATAAGAACCGAAAAAGTTAGAGCTTTTACCAAAAAGGACCTAAGCTAAAATGCAGTAAATTGCTACCCAATATTTTGACCTAAAACTAAAAGGCCTGTTTCAAGGAGGATTTGACAGAGAATATAAACGTCTATGTCACGCGAGGACGAAGTGAGGACTGGCTAAGAAATGGTCAACAACATTATCTGAGTTCATATTGTAATTGTAATAACGGTTTAGCTACTTTATTCATATCTTCTGACGACGAAAAGTGCAATTTTATCTTTAACTTAAAGTTTAACATCTACAGGCTTAATAAGCCATTCGTCGTTTTGCCTTCGTGTGATTTGCATGTTTTTATAACCTGTTCAACAACTTTGTATTAAGACCTTTGAGGTCCAAATATTGATGTGTCTTGTAGTTTTATTATTTTATTATTTTTTTAAGATTTGATTCTCTTATTCTTGATTGTACATTAGACAACTTAATTATTTTAATGTTACAGATACATAAGTACAATGTATGTCCAAAAACAAATATGGCAGACAACTTAATTATTAATCTTTCTATTAAGCATATACAGGGATTTCACAAAATCGGAATAAAAAAACTCTGAATGTCAGTCGTATGAATAGAATAGATGTTAATAAAATCTAGTTTAGCCCACGTTGGTGTCTCCTTAGCTCCTTTACTCCTTTACATTTTAACAATGAAGTCAACTATAGTGTGTTGTATATGTATGCTAATGTTTTATCGATGTTAACTGCGGAAACACTTATCAAAAATACCAGACGTATACTTTTGTACGACAGACGCGCGTTTCGTTTACAAATGACTCATCAGTGACGATTGAATCAACAAAAGAAGGGAAAAGACAAATTTTAATACGAAATTGAAGAGCATCGAGGATCCAAAATTCCGAGATTTACTACTATATATTTTTTTTATAAATCAGACATTTAATATAAATATGATCTACCAAATTTCAGTATGAAAATATTCATATGCGAAATATATTATTAGTACATTATACCGGTATTACAAAATACTTCAATGATATATAAGTTGATCAAGATCACAAAAACTTTTAAAAAATATTAGCATTTTCAATAACTGACATCTATTCATCAGCGATCAAACATGGACTTCAGAGTTACTGTACAACTGCAAGCAGAGTATTTTTGTATTTCTAAGGATTAAGACCGATTATATATTTGGGAGACAAGAAACAAAATCGTATTCGGAGTGAGACCGGGTAGTTAGCTTGGGAAAGCATATCTTGTTATATATGAAATAAGTGTCAGACGTTTCTAAACTCATATCAAAAATCGCTTGAACTCAAAGCAGAGCGATACTAGACGCGTCCATATGGTAAGCATACATTTGTTAATGAAGACTATTAAATATGAACCCGCCTGGGCGTAAGGTATCATTGAAACAAATAGGTGTAGTTTTTATAACTGATTTTAAACCGACGATTTGTTGCTAGTCATCAACGGTGATGTATTTAAAACATCCATGCAAGAAAAACTGTTAAAATACATGTATGTGTATATTTCTTTTCACGAGTAATGAGGACAATACCTTCAGTATGAAGAATATACAACACTGAACAGTAAGATGACTACACCTAGCAATAAAATCAAATCAATAGAAATATACTTCTATATTATTGTTTCTGTATCTATGTTTTATTGTCTCTTATACTGCTCTACTACAGCACTTGTGTTGCAACTTGCTAAGGTAAAGTTAACCACAGAGAGCAGTTTGGCTGTTTGTATAGACTCTTCTTGTTTTGTTTTATTCTTTTTGCTCTTAAACCTTTTACATATTGTTCTTTTAAACTTTTGATCAAGCAAGTAAATTAATCCAGAGATTCGTGTTTTGAGGACGAAATATCAATAAATGATGGCGCATTTTTCGTCATTGAGACACAAACCCAACGACAACAAATAACCTAAAGACATATACGTCAACATACAGTCTTCAACATTGACAGTTCTTTGGACAATTTGACAATCTCAACATAAACTCAGAGTGAATAAAGGTGACGGTATGATAAGAGTTTTTATTTGATCACTGACTTTTCAAAACAAAGTAAATAAGATGAAGCCTTTTACAATTATGAACATTTTATTGTAAAATGAACAAGATGACATTATCTAGACTTGAGCGCACACGGGCCACTTATGGTGTTTGATCTATAAAAAGCCATTTTACATTGTTTTTGGACAAAATAGATATGAGACCAGACTGTACTCAAATAGATATTTATATACAGAAACATCTTTGTTAAATACATCTTGTAGAAGTAAACTCATCATAGATACCAGGATTGAAATTTTGTATTTGCGCCAGACGCGCGTTTTGTCTACAAAAATTTCATCAGTGACGCTCGAATAAAAAAAGTTCAAAAAGGCAAATAAAGTACGAAGTTGAAGAGCATTGACCAAACATCATCGTTTTTGGTAGCACCTTGGTTCGTATCTAAATGTAAATGATCACAATTTAGACTTGAATGGCAGTTTTTTCAATGTTTAGCTGAACCCAAATAATATCGATGTCTGACATCTTTAAGGTAGTATTTGAATGATTTATAATACACCTTTGTTTGCAAGTCAAGGATTCATGAAGTGTATACATCAAACAATCTGCTTTGTTTAAATATACACGGTCTATGCTGCTTGTAGCGTTCAGTCCCCCAGGGTAGCATACACCCTGAAACTAATGATTTGTAATTTATTTTGTCAACTGTAAAAGTGCTGGAATTGGTCTATTGCATGCCACCATGTCACCGACTGCATTGTTCAAACGACAGGGCATAACATGAGAAGCTTAACAGATCTTACAAAAATAATCATTGAACATTTTGTTTTCTAAACAATTTAGTAATAATTTTATTTGTTGTATAAATTGTTTCTGGATGTAATAACCTGGCTGTGTATGGTAACAGAAATTGCAAAGATGGGTACTTTGGATATGAATGCAATTCAACATGCCCTAGGCCTTCAAGCTGTTACCAAAGATATAATACAAATACAGGCGAATGTACAAATTGCAAGAAACGTTTATATGGCAATCAATCTGAAAATAATTGTCCCACAAACTACAGTTTATGTTCTGATCAACAACCCGGTGAATGCTGATGTAGCTGTTGTGATGGATTTTTGGGGAAATACTTGAAAATAATTGTAGTGAAGGATGCGAATCTTCATGTCAATAAAGCAATTGTAACTGTTGGAGATGTTAACCTCGGCTGAAGGCTAGTTTCAATTGTTAGTGACAATTGTACGAAGACCGATTATTGTTATGATTGTTCGAAAGGGCGGTTCGGAGACAAGTGTGAACTTCAATATAGAATTAAGAAGATGTGGTACGATTGCCACAAGAGACCAAATGACACAGAAATTAACAACTATAGTTACCCAGTTAATTATATTAAAAAGTATTATTGGAGAAATCCATCTGCATACAAACTAATCCAGTTGTTGTCTGTCATATTATGCAAGAATTAAATTATTTGGATTTATTTTCTAAATCAGCAGAAAAACTTTAATTGCATGTATAAAGAATATGTGTTGTCACATATCGTGTTTATTCTCCGCTAGTATTTCGTATTATATTGTATTGCATGTGCACTTTTATATTTATATATTGTATAATTCAAGAATATTTTCTAAACATTCTTATTATTGGTGCATATAAAATTATTATCATTATGTGTATGTATCCTATAAGCTGTATTAGCTTTTTGGAATGAAGTATTATATTATTTAATTGTAGAAATTCGATTTGTAGAAAAACAGTTCGAGTACCTGTTCCAAAAAGATGGTTTAGAAATAACTTGCAATATTAGATTATTGAAAACTGATATTTCTGTATTGTTTTTCGGTGATCAATGTTCATGCAACATACACACATGACAGTAACTATTTGGTGGACTTGGAGTCCATGCGGTATTTCCGTTTATCTGTTCTGAATATGAATGTGTTTCTTGGTTGCTGTCATTAACGTGTACAAAACGAGACAAAATTCTACATTAATAAAACTATTATATTATGTACATCTGTTGGTATATATATATTTCTGAACTGACATCATGCAGAGGCGTAAAAGAGGTTTCCCTTGTCGATTCAACGACCACATATGCATACACATCATTGAATACAACTTCCATGATTTCAAGATGCATTGCCTAAATGTATATTGTCATTGATTGTAAAGAATTTCTATGTTTGAATTTGCACAGTGGGTGATGCGTGTATATCAGCAGACTCTCAACCCGTCAAAGCTCCCAATCTCCCTTCTTTTGGACTTCGTGTGATTCCTTCAGTTCCTAGCTTTCTCCTTGATAAAAACTTCTTTATATCTTTTCGGAAATATATGTAATCAACTGTTGCCTCGAATTCAAACATAATTAATGTTTCTTCAGACAAAGTATCCCTGAAAAAGTTTTGCAAGATTCACATTCGTTGAAAAAGTATATATATCTTTGTGTATTTTAAGACCAACCGAAAGTCTCCTTTACATTTTAAAAGAAGGTTTGATCCATGTTATAGATTGTCAAGATTTACATGCCTAGACAGAATTAGCCTCATGAATCACAGTTTGCATATGAAGATCTACGCCACTTTTGCAAGATCACCAGTCGCAACGTCAGTCTGAAAATATAAAATATAAATATTGACGGAGTGGAATCAATCTTAAGAAATAAAAACATACAGATTTGGTGCACACAACACGTATTGATGGACAATTAACAACGTAGAATCTTTACAAAAAACCCTTAATTATCAATTGTGTAGGATAACGTTGTCGCAATAGTTCTAGTTCAATTACTATATCCAAAAATTGAAATTGGAACAAAATTGAAATGTGCAATTTCATTCATATCATTACCAAAGCACTTGCAATTTTCTGGATGTTACCTTCGGGGAATGACTCATCCAACACCGTTAGGATTTATATTCAGGGACTGATTCTACTAACAGTAGTATCAAGCCTTTAAAACTATAAACACTTTCGTTACAAATAAACTGTATCAGAAAGTAATGTATTCATTGGTGATCCCAAGAGTTGACTGGGTATAGAAATATGGTCATTCAAGGACATCTAACATCAAGCAGTAACTTTCTTGCTAAAACGGGTGCCTGTTTGGATCTGCAGGATGTTTAAATACACAGACACGTTTGTGCGGAATGGGAACATTAAATATTCGATGCTCCGCGAAGGGAAAGTGCCAGGATATATACACGTCAAAGAATCCTTGCTACAAGTCAATTGGCGGATGGCAGTTGGCCTGATACATGGCATAATTTTTGTCTCTATCCTAAATGCCCTCTTTTAAAGATGCAGTCCAAAGTTCTACCATTTATCCCTTTTGTCCTTAATTCAAGAAGCTATCTTTAGTATTGATTATTCTATTATCATTTTTTTTTTCATCCCAAAAATGCATGAAATATTTGCCCCTGAACTTTTAGCAATCAACAATTAATAAATCTTTAAGGTGTTGAAGTTTGGCAATTTATGATAATTTCTTACTATTAACAATGATCTGAGTAGCTGCATTTTTCAAATTTAGTTTCCCACTGTGTAATTCTGTTGTCAACTAATGTATAATCAAGTGTCTGCTTTTCTGCGATGATTTTTGACATATTTTTTTTTAATTCCCTGACAGTACACTTAATTTCCTCCTCTCGACAGGTAAAGCGCAATACTTGGTGAGGTCTGTCGGACTGTGCAATAGTAAAACATCTTAATTTGTTTATGTTATTTGAATCGGTAATGCTAAACGCATCGAATTCAGGAGAAAAAGCTGTAACTGGTCGGCTACGAAACAAAATAATATGTCCGGTAGGGACCTGTTTGATCATTTAACGTTTTTCACTTTTTGGAAATGAATTTTGGCCGGAATGATTTCATTAAAAATGATAGTCTTTATACATTTTTTCAATGATTAAAAAAAGGTTAAAATTTCGGATTGAAAGTGTGCGCTGGACAGGAAGGGCATCGAATGAATGGTCTGTCATCCGTGAAGTACTAATCTGGGATGAATTTTATTATCTATTTATTTGTAAAAACCCAAATATATATGACATCAGACGCACAAATATTCCTTCATATTACACTAAGGAGATCACCATTTGATATTATAAGGGGGAATATTTCCTGACTGATCATTTATTTTTTCTATTGCTATGCATGTTTTTTTCCTCTTTTGTACACATTTGTTTCCATTTTGTGTTGCAGAATATTAATTTTCTCCATCCGAATATCAAATTGTCGTTCCTTAAAAATACCAGTGACCCAGGGTCAAAAGGATTGCTACCAATATGCCATGTGCAACTTCTAAATAATACAAAATTTATTTCTGATGAAAATTAATTATTTTTGTACAGTTATATTTGTCTGTAAATAGGTTTCCTTTTAAATATTAAATAATTAAACATAAAACGAATCATAGGAATTCCCCAAAATAGTGGACAGTAAATCGCATAAGCCACGTACACCCGACTCCACAGTTTGTTTTATTTTGTTTTTTTTATTATTTTTTGTTATTTACGCTGTTGACTAAATTGACTACTCATCTTTGTTTAATCTAGATATTTCCTTGTTACCATTGCTTGGTTGATTGGTGTTTGCTTTACGCCGCCTCAGCACAAAATGGCTATATCGCGGCAATGTCATCATCGAATGCATTGTATTTATGTTTTTATTGCCAGGTTTATACATCTTGTGATAGGTTTATACATCTTGTGATAGATAAAGCGCTTGCCCCGACTTGACAATCCAGTGATGTAGTTCTGTTTAAAACACTGTCTAAAACGGGAAAAGGCTTTGATCCTAAATATGTTAATGTTCAGCTTTGACTGAAGTATCTTTTTTCATCGTTGGTTCATTATGGAAAGTAAATTTAATTTTTGCCTAGAGGTTCTATACCTTTGTGTTAACATCTTCATATGTATCATCGATGTCACTTCCATTTTTCACCTAAAAGAAAACGTGTCATTTAAAACAGAAAATTGTAAAATATTTGTTGTGTACATTAACATTTAAAGTCATATGAAACGAGTTTCTTGTAGTTTTAATGTTATCGAAATTATTTAACTAATGCATTCGTACATACTAAACTAAGTCCTACATGCTTGTTTGTATTTATAACGAATCTATAATGTATTATCGACATTTATAATTTCAATCAGTGATTGTTGTTCGCAAGCTTATTAAAGAAGAAGGACGAAAGATACCAGAGGGACAGTCAAACTCATAGATCGAAAAGAAACTGACAACGCCATGGCCAAAAATAAAAAGACAAACAGACAAATAATAGTACAGATGACACAACATAGAAAACTAAAGACTAAGCAACACGAACCCCACCAAAAACTGGGGGTGATCTCAGGTGCTCCGGAAGGGTAAGCAGATCCTGATCCACATGTGGCACCCGTCGTGTTGCTTATGTTATTACAAAACCGGTAAATAGTCTAATTGGGTAAGTCACATTCGTGAAAAGGGAAGGGTATTGTAGTTACGACATAAGGAACATGTCCGATATCATCTGTGAAACGGTTATTCCATAACGGTCAACCAACTCGTGATGGCGTCCGTAAAATTTACGAAGGGATGATTTCAACTTCACCATTTGGAACTCTTGGTTTAATAGCTTCCTTGTGAGCAGCAATCCTCTATCAAGGAAATCATGATAGGAAAATTATTAACTTTCGCGTTTGTCGCCGAAGTTTACTGATCGTGACATTGATAAACAATCAACACACGTGAAGCCATGGCAAAAAGTGAATTGATAGAGCCATGATATTTTTCCATATTTTCGTTGTTAAATGATTTGTTTATTAAATTTGTTCTTTAAGAATTAGTAATTACTATTTATCTTCCAGTGCACGTTTGTTTAAATTTTTTCATCACGGTTTTCCCCTCGCACTTGCGCTGTACGGTGGCCTAAGTTCTAACGAAAGGTCTCGTTGTTAAGGTCAATGCATATGGGAATATATCGGCGATCTAGTGAACGGGAAGACAATAATTCAATAGCAGTACATTTATGAAGATTTTGATAAAATAAAGGTTTTTCTTTTACTAGAAAGTTCGCGTACACTTGTTTTATAGTAAAACTTAGCCATTGAAGTATATAAAGCATTTTAAGCAAAGGTGAAATTAAATTACCAAACGCGTAAATAGCAGAAATACGATGTCAACCTTTTCATATTGAAATTCATGTTTATGCTCCTTAGTATATAATAGCATTAAGTAAATGGACCTTCCAGAAGATATGGTATATCCGGACACGCATTTTGAATTACAAAAAGGATTGAACAAAGACGTGCATAGTATGAGATGTAACCTTTTAAATAACTGAGTTATATTTATTATTACAATGCATAAATCGTCTACCTACATTTCAGTATGAATCAATTAAACAACCCGCAAATTTATCCCCAAATGAGACTTATCACCGAATGTGTACTTATCATGAGCACCATGGCGACTGTTTTTTTAGTTTTTTTTTGTTGGGGTTCGTGTTGCTAATTCTTTAATTTCTCGTATAGTGATAATAACTGCTGATCTGTAACTATACCTGTTTCTTTTCCTTTTTCTCAGTGAAAGCCTTAGCTGTTTCTGTACATTCTCCGATAAGTGCTCCAAGCCATGCAAGACCGGTAAATATCCAAATAATAACTACAAGTTTGTAAACAATTTTTGTACCACCTTTAGTTTCAGTCCCTAGAAAAGAATAATCATTGTAAGTAGTCATCTTCCGAAATGCGTATACGTCTCGTCTCTTTAATACATTTTAGATTGATTCATTTGGGGAGAGGACCTGGGGAATGGCGTAATCAGACACCATCTGTCAATGAGACTCTAAAGCAACACAAGTTTGTTGGAAATATAAACCTATGTTTTTACCGGAGACTAAAAACCCATAAAATATCAAAACAACAATCAACGCAACGGTCCAAAAGAAACAATGATTGACCAAAATGTAAATAATTATATCTTTGTGAATACGCATAATTAACTAATATTTTAAGATATTCTTTGATTTGAAATATACTTCTCATTGTTTGACCCATACTTCATATTTTTTGGCAAACTAACATCTATAATCCATATGTTTTCTGTTTTACAATTACACAATGTTGAAACCCGTAAACAAGTCGAAAGTTTAAAAAGTAACGAATACAAAATGTATATTTACCTACAACAAAATCTCCAAATCCAATCGTTGTGAAGGTTATCACACTATAATAAATGGCTTCTCCGTATGCCCAGCCCTCTATTGCGGAAATTATAGCCGACGGTATCAATATTAGCAGACAACATATTGTGAAATATATCGAAAAATATTTTAACCCTTTTTCCGTTTTGGTATATTTCTCCAAGTATGGTATTGTCTTATTCGTAAAATAACTATTGAGTTTCTTTATTTTTTCTGCAAGGCCTGCAAGCATCAACCCTGTAACTGGAATTCCGATCAATGCATAAATTACAATGAAAGCTTGTCCACCTTTTGTTGCAGGTGTTTGATTTCCATATCCTAAAAATAAATGACATGTAAATTCGACAAGAATTGCACTTATTTCATTTAAACAAAAAAACAAATTTAACATTGCATTTTTAACATATTTGTCATGCCAGGACATTTTTAAGCTGACTTTACGGTATGTTTTTTGTTCATTTTTGAAGATCCTACAGTGAACTACAGTTGCTTACATCCACGCCATTTTGCCCCTGGTTGGTAGATGTCTCATTGGCAATAATATCACGTCTCCTTATTTGTATATTAGCTGTCCGAATCCTCTTCTTTTTTGGTGTCTGGTGGATTGTTTTTTCTTTGGGAATCATACCACATCTCCGATTGTTTTTATTCATTTTGCCCAAAGCAATAGAATTGAGAATGGAAATGGGGAATGTGTCTAAGAGACAACAACCAAAGACCAGAAAAACAGCCCAAGGCTACCAATGGGTCTTCAGCAAAGCGAGAAAATCCCGCACCTGGAGGCGAGTTTAAGCTGGCCCCTAAACAAAAATATGTACTAGTTCAGTAAAAATGGACGTCACACTTAACTCCGAAACATATAATAGAACTAAAATTAAAAAAAACACACAAGACTAACAAAGGTCAGAGGCTCTTAACTTGTGACAGGCGCAAAAATGCGGCGGGGTTAAACATGTTTTGTGAGATCTCAACCCTCCTCCTATACCTCTAGCCAATGAAGAATTAAAAAAAACACACAGCAATACGCACAGTAAAACTCAGTTTAAAAGAAGTCCGAGTCCGATGTCAGAATAGGTAACAGAAGAAACTAAGCTAAATGACAATGATACATAAATTAACAAAGGACTACTAGCAATTACTGACATGCCAGCTCCAGACCTCAATTAAACTGATTGAAAGATTATGTTTTCATCATAAGAAAATCAAGAACAATCCCTCAAGTTATGGGTTTAGTATCATACCATCATAAAATATATGAGAAGAACATAACCCGTATCATGCCAACAACTGGTTTTAGAATAAATGTGTTTATTTCCTGTCATGATAAATACATTTTTGTTCCATTATTTCCATTAAAAAACATGATTACAGAAAATAGCACTAAATATATCATTTGTGAAAACTATATATAGGAACGAGGGATATAAATGCAATCCCCTTGTATGTCTGTCTGTTCGATCGTCCGTTCCGCGGGCGTCCAACCAATATGTTCGTTTTCTTTTTCAAATAATTCTACACAGGATGACTTCATACTTGGTCAGCGTTTGACAGTGATAAGTTGTAACATGAGAACACTTTTCGGATCTCTCAGACGCCTACATCCTGTATGCTGATACTTTCGGTTTTTCAATTTGTTGAATGAACTTAATTCTAGTATTTTCGTCACTCATTTCTCCAGTATTATTAAACAGAATTACTGCATACTTGGCTAGTAGCTTGAAAGTTTTTGAACTGTAACGTAACGTGTGCACGCTTTTCTGATCTATCAAACACCTACTTCCTGCTTTGTTACCCTCTAAATTACAAGTGGGGGTATGTTTTGCTAGACAACGCGTTGAACTTCCTGTTTGGTCTACAATTACACGGCATGACTTCAAACATTGGACCATCCTGATTTTTAAGGATATCCCAAGTTTTGTTAACTCTGTGAAACGAAAGTATTCCAGCTGCATTTTACGAGATTATTAAGTTATACTAACTTTATAATAACCCTTTAAAACTTCCTAAATGATGATATATGCAGACATACGATACAAATCACCCTTTTTTATGATAAAGACATTATGCAAATTACAATCAATCAAGCAATTATTCTACTTTCAACTGTATGATTGGAAAACGAAATATTTTTTATGAAACACATTTTCCATTTCTAGGTCGGTATTTTTTAATTGTGAACAGATTACCCATTTTATCGTCAGACTTTTAAAAAAAACCAATTAGATATATGCACTGTTATCAAAAACTGAATGTCTCGTCAACAGGAATAGGCGGCACATTGATTATTGAAACGAGTGTGAATTTTCTGGCTGATAAGATAATGAACAAATATTTGAGCTTATGTGCAACACACAATACAAATTCCGTTATGTACAATCCTATTATTTTGTCCAGGATTCCATCCGATGATTACACCATCTTTACTAGATGGACTTTCAATTTTTTTTATCTGTGGGACATATATTTATTTCTAACTATTTGATAAAAATACGTGCGTACGATTAGAGCTACATACCAATTGTAGTTATCGCTGTTACAACAAAGAAAATTGAATTCCCGAAATCCCACTGGGTGGCAGCATTAGTGGTTCCGTTAATTGACTTAACACCACTATCATAGGCATTTCGGACTTCTGTTAAAAAAGCTATTAGTTCATTGCTCGTCATGCAAGATGCGTGATCAGCTGTGAATACAACAATACGGTATTAATTATGTAAAAAGCTAATTCCCGGAAAAATTAAATGTAGAGATTTGCTCCCTTACAAACATGTGGCAATGTTCTGTTTTGCATTCTAATTAGATATAGACGAACGTTTCAAATTTTGTGGATCTTAATTGCACGTTTAAAATATTTGCAAAACAAATTCAATGAAACATGGCGGAACTATATCTGCAATCTCATTTGGTACAAATAAAATTGAAAAATATTTCAATATATAAGGGTTTCTGCACTACTAGTAAAGAATATTATCCCTTATAGTCATATGAATTTCAAATTTTACCAAAAAGTTGAATATGTTTTATATACTTGAATAGCTAAGTTTTACTATAAAACAAGTATACGTGAACTTTCTTGTAAAAAAAATCCTTTATATTATCAAAAATTTCATAAATGTACTGCTATTGAATTATTGTCTACCCGTATACTAATTCGCCGATATTTCCCTGTATGCAGTGACTTTAACTACGAGACCTCTCCTTAGAACTTCTGCCACCGCACAGCGCAAGAGCGAGGGTAAACCCGTGATCAACAAATATAAACAAACGTGCACTGTAAGGTAAATAGTAATAACTGATTCTTAAAGAAAAAGCTTATATATTTGTAATACAACAAATCATTTAAAGGGGCATTAGTTATGAGATATACAAAAAATTTAAATATGATTTATTTTTTTTCAATCATTAATGAAAGTGATATAGTGAAATAATAATTCGCTTTCAGCAGCCAATTTTGTTCAATTTTGTCAAAATAAGCTAAGAAACATCGCTGATGAATTATTCACTTGCAAGTGAATAATTCGACCTCATTGAATCCGTATTCATGGTTACGCATGTATTCAGCTATTAAAAGGAAAAGAATGTCAACATTGAAATTGAAACAAGGATGAACCATTTGGTTAACTGGTTCGTTCCACAAGAAAATCATACTTATACAGGTTAAAACTATGATAAACGTACTTTTTAACATACAATATGAAATCAAAGAGACCTAGAAAAATCTAATTGCACGTGGTCGCTATTTGTTTATATTTATATTTATGTTTATATCGGGTTGTATGACCGTCGGCAGTCTTCGGAGGTCATCTCGATGGTTAATTACATGACGACAAAAATACACACGAAATGTTGATACAAATTATCATGTCCATGCATTGATAATTGTTTAATTTAGACTTTTTGTAATTGGGATTTACGTTTTAGTATGTTATAAATCAAATATGAGAATTTGAGTCAAATCAGTGAACATGAATTTGACAAATAATGCCCCTTTAACATCTGTTAAGGAAAGTTTCAATTAACAAATGGGAACGCATGGAAATTATATAAATAAATATCATGACTAGCTCTATCAATTCACTTATTTGTAACGTGCTCCACAAGCTCTGTTTTGATTGTTTAGCAGTGTCACGATCCGGTATAATTCGGCAACAAACTCGAAAGTTTATTAGCTTGAGATCAACAATCACTGAATGAAATATCATTTGTTGATATATTCGTAATGAATATAACAAAAAACGTACATACAGGACTTAGTTTAGTATGTATGCATGCATTGTTACAATAATTTTGATAAATTTAAAATTACAAGAAACTCATTTGATATGACTTTAATATTAGTGTAATAACCCTAAACGGACGCCATCACGAGTTTGTTGACCGTTATGGAATAACCGTTTCACAGATGATATCGGATATGTTCCTTATGTCGTAACTACAATACCCTTCCCTTTTCACGAATGTGACTTACCGAATTAGACTATTTACCGGATTTGTAATAACATAAGCAACACGACGGGTGCCACATGTGGAGCAGGATCTGCTTACCTTTCCGGAACACCTGAGATCACCCCCAGTTTTTGGTGGGGTTCGTGTTGCTTAGTCTTTAGTTTTCTATGTTGTGTCATCTGTACTATTATTTGTCTGTTTGTCTTTTTATTTTTGGCCATGACGTTGTCAGTTTGTTATCGATCTATGAGTTTGACTGTCCCTCTGGTATCTTTCGTCCCTCTTTTATCGATTGTTTAACTTGCATATTGTTGGTATTAATGGTATCAATGTCAAATATAAATGCATTGAATGATAAATAAAATGTCGTCAAAATCATTTGTTTCATAAATTCTTTTGTGTACAAATATGATAAGTTAACAAGCACTTATCAGAATAAGACTAGCCATTTCATTTGCATATATTTTTATATTGATTGATTGTTGGCTGCTTAAAGTTCCAGTGGCCAATTTTTCATGCATGATCGGGACGATATATTCAAGAACTCCTAAGGTTAAAACAAATATATACATTATGTATCCTTTACTCATGAATCTATTCATCTTACTTATAAATGTTGACAATGTAGTTGTTATATCTGTTGTAACTGTCTCTTCATTGGTTTGTTCAAGTGCCATCATTATAGCTCCACCAATCAGAGAATACACAAACAAAACAAGCATCAGGATTAACAACGTTTTAACTTCCATTCTTCTAAGTTGTTGTTAGATAAGTCTACCAGTAAAGAACAAAACAATAGTCATAGATACATGATTTTTTGTATTAGTTTTTATTGGCTTTGAACTAGCTGTCAGTAAATACGAGTACTCTCAGATCTGTACTTAGTGTTTTTGTTGTTGTCATGGATGAGGGATTTTTGTAGCTTGTTTTTATGTTGTGTTGTTACACCACTGTCCCGGGTTAGGGGAGGGTTGAGCGCTCACAAACATGTTTAACCCCGCCCCATTCTTTATGTGCCTGTCCCAAGTCAGGAGCCTGTAGTGCAGTGGTTGTCTGCCATATTTGTTTTTCGTAAATTGTTTTGTTATAAATTAGGCCGTTAGCTTTCTCAATTGAATTGTTTCATGGTTTTTATGTCAGGGCTTTTATAGCCGACTATACGGAATGGGTTTTTCTCATTGTTGAAGGCCGTACGGTTGCCTATAATTGCTTACATCAACTTCATTTGAACTTTGGTGGATAGTTGTCTCATTGGCAATCATACCACATCTTCTTATTTTTATATAGTTTGATTATGTTGAAGTGTGATCAATGTCAAAAAAAAACCCGGATATTTGTACACTAGTCATGATGAACGAAAATCATAAGGGGTCGCTGGCAATCATACCACATCTTCTTATTTATATATCAATGTAAGAAATGTAAGATGGGCTAAATGCATACTTATATTACGTGAACTAGAAATTATAGATAACATAGATATAAATTAACAAACAGATCCATACACTCCTTCATACTGTTTGTGTTTCGTTTTATTTGTTGAAATAATTAACTTTGGTTATTCAGACTTAAGTACAATGTCATGTATTTAGGTTAAAGTTAAACAAACTGGCGATATACAAGTATAAAGTCATGTCTCATTAAATATTTGGAATTTATTGGGATCAATTATCAAATTGTCAGATGGATTATACATCTATAAATTGATTTATTTATAAAACTTACTCCTTTTCGGGTGTTGAAAATTTTTAAGGATTTTTAAATTTGAAATTATTCCCAGGCAGAGCTTATTCATTTTGCAGGAAGTATTTTTATAAAGCATGATGGATGGATAGCAATTTTTGAAATTGTGTTTGTTTAGTCCTGTCGAAGATGGAACGGGGCGAAAGGCGACCTTTCGCGCCACAACTCAATTGCGCCAATGCTACGTTTGTGTCAGTAGTTTTCAAAATACCTAGTATCATTTGCGCCAAAAAGTAAAGTAAACGATTTCGCCAATTCAAAAAAAACCTCCTCATTTATCCAGGCTTTGAACTGACAGTTTACCATGTTTACGCTGATGGCGGTAGAGTCATTTTAAGTCATTTAATAACACTTATTAAAACATAAACCTATAAATTGATGTTGAGAGAACATTTATTCGCATAATAACGTTTCAATTGTTTTTAATCTGGAGTGCCTGAAAGCTCAATATTAGGCCCTTTTGTTTTTATTGTTCATAAATGACTTGCCTCTTAATATCACTTCATCTCATGCAGTCCGTATTGTTTCACATTGTTCATGTTGGGTCATTTTATAATAGCCGACTACATGTGAGTTTTTCTCACATTACGTACGATTGCAAATAATTGCTTACATCCACTTCATTTGGTCTCTATTGGAGAGTTGTCTCATTGGCAATCATAACACATCTCCTTTTTTTTAGTGTTGTAGACGGGGATGGATTTTCCCATGATTAGACATCAAAGTACCTTTCTTTATTTTAAACGAATAAGTTATAAAATCCAATTCAGAAAAAAATGTTTTCGTTACTTATAAACTTGATTTATATTCAGGTGACCAAATTGTATAATTTCAAATTTGAACATTGTATAGGCCGGGTTGCATCAAGTGCGAAACCGGTTTACAGCATGGTGAAATCGGGTAGACGGGCGTTGTTACCTTGGTACCTATCATTTGTTATCAATGTACATGTTCAGCCCATGGTCAGATCCTTAAAACTTCAAATATAGATTGAACACATATATAGTGATGCACCTGCTATTCTGGAACTGCTAGCACCCCCCCCCCCTTTCCCCTTTATCCGCTTCTGATAGATACACTACGTGTGCCTCAGAAACGTCTTCTTGATAGAAGCTTAATATGCAAAAATTGACAGAATTTATGTTCACTGTTATTTCATTATGTAATATCCTAAGAGCAATATTATAGAGCACACATGGAACACAATGAAATACATATATACAAAAGTTTATTTGCTACGATTTTCATTATTAGAATTTGCATAGACCTACACTTAATAGGACTATGTGGTGGACTATACACCACATGATGCCTCTATTAATGATTCTCTGTCATTTATACAAGAACCGTCACTATAGCGTCCCCCCTTTCCCCTTTTCCCCATTCAAATAAATAAAAAAACAACTATCATCTCGGATATTGCCTGTCACAGACTTTTCAGACCGGTTCAGATTGAAAAGATGAAAAGGAGAAAAGATCCTTTCTAAAACTTTCCTTTGCTAACAAAGGTATGGATGTCATCAACTTATCCTTCATCATAAATCAGTTCACTCGGAAATTCCTCTCTACTTTAAAAATCATTCTATATAACTCTTAAACTGATACCAAACTAGGCCATCTGACTTTCCTACGTTTACACAAGTATTCTCCATTCCAAACTAAAAGGTAAGTTGAAAGAATTGGTCCTGCTTTGTTTCATAAAAATGGTAGATACAAGTATCTTGTCTCAGGGAGGGTTAAATCGCACTTTGTAAAAAATTACTCTGATTAAAACAAAAAAATTCTGAAACTGACATAATCAAGATGCTGGATTACTTGAATGACAACATATTTGTTACTCAGAAATTTGTTATGTTTGGAGGACGTGGTTTTTAGCAAACAATAAGCATTTCCATGGAAACTAACTGTGCTTCTTTTCTTCCGCCTTGTTCCTTTTATTCATATGAGACTGACTTCATACATGAACTTCATAGAAAGAATGAAAAGAAGCTAGCATTATCCTTTAACTTTACGTTCCGTTATATCGATGATGTTCTCTCACTAAATAATTCATAGTTTGGTGACCATTGGTGACCATGTTGAACGCATCTACCCCATCGAACTTGAAGTAAGGGGTACAAGAGATACAGTTAAGTCTGCTTCATTTCTCCATTTCTCACATTATTAACAAGGAAACTCCAATAAAAAGTTATCTTCATCTTCTACATTTGCATTTGTCAAAGATTACATATTTAATACTCAGAATCATGATTATATCTTCCTGTTTCTATTTTTAGACTGTGTGCACTCCGTCTAAATGTTCTTTACTTTTCCGTATTTCATTGAAGATAATTATGTTTCAAACTTAAAGCAATACTAAATTTAACTTCCTGTATTTTCAATGACTTTTTTCAACATGTTCAAGGTTATGCATTTTGATTGTTATCATTATTATGTATTGCTGCCCCTAAATGTATGCATTTTGTATGTACTTATTATTTGATATTTTTTAATATAAAATTATTGCTTATTCTACGATCTGTTTTAGATAAATTACTCATAGGTAACAAATTAAGAAAAACAACAGTTGAAAATGCATCCCACAAATGTTTTTCGGGGTTTTTTTAAGAATATTTTAAGATTCATTAAAAAAGGCCTTCAGTATAATATTATCTATGAGAATTTTTAAGTTTGTTTTAATACTTTTAAGACATTATATTGTTGATCGTGAAATAGTTCCCGTTCATTTATGTGTAGCCAAAATAAACAGTTACAGAAAAAAATCATTGATATGATTAATTCATGTTTTGCAAATAAACTCATCATAGATACCAGGATTGAAATTTTGTATTTGCGCCAGACACGCGTTTCGTCTACAAAAGACTCATCAGTGACGCTCGAATCAAAAAAATTTAAAAAGGACAAATAAAGTACGAAGTTGAAGAGCATTGTGGACCAAAAATTCCTAAAAGTTTTGCCAAATACTATTGCTGAGGTAGAAAAGCCTTAGTATTTCAAAAATTCAAAGTTTTGTAAACAGTTAATTTATAATTATGACCATATCAATGATAATTCATGTCAACACAGAAGTGCTGACTACTGGGCTGGTGATACCCTCGGGGAATAAATTTTGAGTTGAAATAAAAACTTATATGTAGTAGCTGGATACGTATCTTATTGTTATACGTTATCTGAAAAGTTTTGATGACATTTTCGTTATCTATCCAAAAATAAATCTCATGAGGTCTCTTGCAGTCAAAACGTATGTCATTCTCCAACATATATACAGCGTCACTACCACTATCAGTACAATTCACTGAAGTACAAACGATAGACGCTTGACCAAACTAATACACTATAGATATTTTAATTATATTGCATAACTCTTGTCCGGTTGCTGTCGCGATCATTACATTCGCCTTTTCAACTAATTTTTACCTTGTTAATACATATGTAATCTTTAATATTTAATATACAACTACTGAATTAAATGAGAAAAAAAACAGAAATTAATTGTCAGAGTTCGTTTACGACATATATATTTTGTCTCCCTGTACTTCTAGAAAGCTATTCAGAACTGTTTATAAATAGAGAGAGAACTAAAATGTATGCATGATTTACCTTGATAATACGGTTCTTGACTTTGTGTATAGTTGAAAATGTACCTTATAGTGTTTGTATATCGTGTGATAACGTTATAACATCCTTCAGATACAAAAAATGAACTTAAGTCTTCTTCCCGTATTTGAACATAAATTGGAAATCCGATCATTTCACAACAACGTATAAATAGATGAAATCATAGTTAACATTTATTTCCAAAAAGTCATAAAGATTGAATACACTAATTAGTTGAACAGAGGTTGATGAATTTTATTCTTTTGTTTGTTAGTTCGTCCATTGAGTGGTAAAGATATGCTCTTTGGTGTTATGTCCAATCATATTATTATGTGACTAATTTCACAAGTATAAAAATATATATATGTACTACAATTAGTCAAGGAAGTTTTCAGATCAAAAAATGGAAAGGCCTTTTTATGAGTCCGTTTGTTTTTGAGAATGAGATAGCTGTCGCGGCATTGGAGAAAATTAAAACCGAGATAATAAAAATCATATTTTTTAAAAAATCCTTTAGTGTTCTTTAATGAATATGAAGTAACTAATTGCTTGTCCCCCTTGCCGACAATTCTATTTAAATGATGTTTTAGATATGCATATTTGTATAAAACTATTATTGTTTTATCAATAAGTGTGGACATAGACGTGTGGAGTGTTAATAACTTAGCTGTATTTGGCACAACCTCTCAGAATTTTCGGTCCTGAATGCTGTTCAGCTAAGTACTTTATTTGGCCTTAATTTCTTTTGAATCGAGCGTAACAGATGAGACTTAAATAAAAGTTGATCGAATCTTTAATTTAAAAGAAAATTGTTCTCACTTATCTTTGGACGTATTTGTACACATAAGATACATTTTTATCATATTTTGAAAAAATAAAATAACTTAAAAATATTTAAATCATGTTCTGTGTTTTGTAACGATTTGAAACGGATATATTCCACAGCCTTTCCGATTAAAACTTTCGATTATTATCACTGTTTCATTTCTGTCGACCAATCATCAGAACGCAGACGACAAAGAGTAAGAAAATGGTTAAAATGTCTGAGTTATTCTTTCCAGCTTCTCTTTATTTGCCAGATAAAATAAATTGAATTCGCATAGATTAAGTACTTGGACACGAAATATGAAATTTCATCAATATTGACAAAAAATGCATCGTGACTACGAAAAGACAAATTTGAATTCCATGTAACTGCTTCACGGCAAGTGTTTTAGTTTAATCTAAGAATAAAAATCTTTTCATAAACGTGTTATGATCTGACTGTTTCTGTATTGGCCCTTTTATAGGAGTTCGATAAGCTGCATTGGCCATCGACTCATCAAGTCTGGAGGCCAATACAGCTAACCTCGAATATATAACAGGGCCAATTCAGAAACAGCCAGTTAATATCACTATACATGCTCTCCTCGAAATCTCTTTTCGCGGTGAAGTGAACTTTTTCAAACAAAAAGCGACCTCATACGAACATACATAATTAAATACAATTTTCACATTTTCGAGATGCATTGACTAAATAGATATAAGAAGATGTGGTATGAGTGCCAATGAGACAAATCTCCATCCAAGTCAAAATTTATAAAAGAAAACCATTATAGGTCACAGTACGGTCTTCTTCACGGAGCCTTGGCTCACACCGAACAGTAAGCTATAAAGGGCCCCAAAAAATTACTAGTGTAAAACCATTCAAACGGGAAAACCAACGGTCTAATCTATATAAAAAACGAGAAACGAGAAACACTTATGAACCACATCAACAAACGACAACTACTGAACATCAGATTCCTGACTTAGGACAGGTGCAAACAAATGCAGCGGGTTTAAACGTTTTAATGGTACCAAACCTTCACCCTTTTTCTGAAACAATAGTGTAACATCACAACATAGAAAGACACACTATAAAATATCAACTGAAATAGCTTAACTCAATCAAAGGACATATTAACACCATTGAACATACACTGAACAAATAAATTTGACCTATACCACAATGTAAATACAAAATAAATAAACTAAGGGAAGAATAATAAAAGTAACATGTTATATCGGTAATAAATGTTAAACAATTAAAGAAAAACAATATGCTCGAACAAAAATACCATCCATTTGCAATAACTTTAAACACAGGTAAATGAAAAAAAATTTGTTGTTAGGTATACCTGTACAGTACCAATAGAGAAAGGAAATATTTTTACAAAATAAATATTTTTGAATACAAAATAAATAAACTAAGGGAAGAATAATAAAAGTAACATGTTATATCGGTAAGAAATGTTAAACAATTAAAGAAAAACAATATGCTCGAACAAAAATACCATCCATTTGCAATAACTTTAAACACAGGTAAATGAAAAAATTTTGTTGTTAGGTATACGTGTACAGTACCAATAGAGAAAGGAAATATTATTACAAAATAAATAATTTTTATGTTCATAGTACGAAGTGAAAATTTATAGATATACCAAACACTTATCAAAGCTGCTATATAGACCAGATATAACCCTGAATAACATTAAATAACAAAAAAGCAATACAATTAGTATCAACAGGTCAAATAAACAAGAAAGTACGATTTGAGAGTACTCGCAGTTACTGACAGCTAGTTAAAAGCCAAAACAATTAATAACAAAAAATCATGCATCAGAGACTAAAATCAACTAAAACACATCCCAGGGATTTAGTATTTTAACGTCATGGACAGTCAAAGAAGACATGACTAGTGCAATGCCAAAAATAAATGTATCGACAGACAGTAGGATAGTTAGGAGTTTAACCTCTTTATAGATCTAAAGTATATTTTCAACGATTGTGACATTTTTCTAAGTGTGGATTCGAATAGCTTGGTGATGCATGCATAGCAAGAGACGCGTCTACCGTCGACACTCCCTGTCTCACTCCTTTTGGAGTTCATGCGGTTTCTTCAGTTCTTAGCTTTTACTTTGATATATAACTTCTAAATGTCTTTATGAGAACATAGGTAAACTACTGTTGCCTCTAATTAATATTATTATTAATGAATATTTAGACAAAGTATACGTGACAAGGTTTCCAAAGATTCATATTTGTTTGAAGATTATCTACATCAATATGCTTTTAGAGACCAACCGAAAGTCTCATTTATATTCTAAAGGAAGGTTTGATCCATTTTATACGTTGTCAAGATTTTCATGTCTAGTCCGCATAAGCCTCAGGATTCGCATTTTGCATATGAAAATCTACGCCACTTTTGTAAGATCCCCATTTGCAACGTCAGTCTGAAAAGATAAAAATTGACGGATTGGAATCGATCTTAATAAAGAAAATAACGTTTCAGTGCACACGTATTTATGGGAAATTAACAGCGTAGAACATTTACCGAAACCCCAGAATAGTCAAGTGTGTATGATAGAGTTGTATCTATAGTTCTAGTCCAAAATCTAATCCAAAATATGAAATTAGAACAATATTTATATATACAACTAGTTAGTTTAGGAGTTTGTTTTATTTTGTGTATTTATTATTATTGTTATTTAACATGTACTACTCACCATTGATTAATTGATTGGTTGATTGGTGTTTGCTTTGCGCCGCCTTATAACAACAAAATCGCGGCAATGTCAACATTGAATGCATGGTATCAATTTTTATATTGCCAAAGAGGGACAAAAGATACCAGAGGGACAGTCAAACTCATAGATCGAAAACAAACTGACAACGCCATGGCCAAAAATAAAAAGACAAACAGACATATAATAGTACAAATGACACAACATAGAAAACTAAAGACTAAGCAACACGAACCCCACCAAAAACTTGGGGTGATCTCAGGTGCTCCGGAAAGGTAAGCAGATCCTGTTCCACATGTGGCACCCGTCGTGTTGCTTATGTTATTACAAATCCGGTAGTCTAACTCTGTAGGTCACATTCGTGAAAAGGGAAGGGTATTGTAGTTACGACATAAGGAACATATCCGATATCATCTGTGAAACGGTTATTCCATAACGGTCAACCAACTCGTGATGGCGTCCGTAAAATTTACGAAGGGATGATTTCAACTTCACCATTTGGAACTCTTGGTTCAATAGCTTCCTTGTGAGCAGCAATCCTCTATCAAGGAAATCATGATAGGAAATACAAGCCCGGGAATATCGTATCAATTGGGAGATATATACTCCGTATGCAGGCAAGTTGACACATCTTGTGTTGGATGCTAATAGTGAAGCTCTTGTCTCGACTTAACAATCCAGTGATGTAGTTGAATTAAATATTCTGTCTAACAATGGAAATATTTGGATCCCAAATATGTTAATGTTTAGACCTCTTTGACTAAGGTATCTTTTTTATTATGGTAGATTTTAAATGGAAAGTAAATGTATGCCTAGAGATTATATACCTTTATATTAGCATCTTTATCTGTATCGCCGATGTTACTTCCATCTTTCACCTTAAATAACACATATGTCCGTTTTAACAGATAATTGTACAATATGTATCGTGTTCACAAATAATATGCATGAACATTTAAACAAAGGGGAAATAAAAATACAACACGCATAATGAGCATAAAAAGGATGTCAATCGTTTTAATCATATTTAAGCATAATGTTTATGCTCTTTAGTCATGTTAGTATAGAATCGCCGTAAGTTAATTGGACCTTCCGGAACATATGATAACAACCTGGACTCGCGTTTTGAATTACACAACGGATTTAACAAAGTGATGTATAGCAGGAGAATAGTCTTATGTTTATCCTTTTTAATAATTCAGTTATATTCATGGCACTTGAACTACTGTACACAATTCACAATGCAAAGAACTTCTACCTTCTTTCCCTTTTGTTAATTAGTACATCTATGATATAGAATATTTCTCATATTCAGTACCAGTTAAAATATAATTGTTTACATGCTTACAATCCACACCAGCTGGTTTTGAAGACCAATTTACTTCTCAGAAGATGAACATTGAATGGTTTATTTAAAGGCGTTAAATATTAACCCTTAAGTAGGATTCTGGATCAATATATCTGCTGATCATTGGTATGGTCCACTACCAACGTAAACGTAAATGAGATTGTATTACAGAGATAATACAGCAGGATGCAATCACCCCCTAAACGATCATATTTTTTTTAAAAGATAATCATTTACTTGATATATCTATATATTGTTCAAAATTTTACAAGTTAAAAAAATTTAAAATTTACAGTTTTGTATATCACCTTAAATGTATCAAACACTACTAGATGATGGTGTTCCTCTACCAAAATTACGTTAGGATTTTTTTTTAAAAAGACAGTGTCAGCATTTCTGTATGAAACACCATTAAACAACTTGCAAATTTATCACCAAATGAGACTTATCACCGAATTCAACTTATCATGAGCAACATTACGACTGCCACTAGTGGAGCAGGATATTCTACCCTTCCAGAGCATATGAGTTCACCATTAGTTTAAGTGGGGTTCTTGTTGCTCAGTCATCAATTTGTCGTATAGCTATAATATAAAATACTGCTGATATGTTTATACCTTTTCCTTTTCCTTTTTCTCAGTGAAAGCCTTGATTGTGTCTGTACATTCTCCGATAAGTGCCACAAGGCATGCAAGACCGATAAATATCCATATAATAGCTAAAAGTTTGTAAACAATTCTTGTACCACCATCATTTTCAGTAGCTGGAAAAGTAAGTAGTCGCCTTACGAAAAGCTTAAGTATGTCTATTCAGTACATTTAAAGTCTACATGAAAACAAGAAGATAAATGTCAATAAACTATCAATAACTTAGAAATTGATTGATTTTTTGTTTAATTTTCTTTTTAATCGGACAATAACTGTCAATGAGACACCAATCCAAAAATGTTTGGCTATAAATGCACAAGTTTGTTGGAAATATAATAAACCTATCTATTTACCGGATACTAAAAACCGACAAAATATCAAAACAACTCAACGCAACGTTCCAAAAGGAAACAATACAGGACCAAAAATTAAACAAATATTTTTTATAGTGATTAAGTTTATTAGCTATCCATATGTCTTTGTGAATACGCATATCAAACATTTATTTTAAGATTTTTTAACTGTTACAATAAACTTTTACAAAACTTTGAATTTTTCGAAAAACTTAGGATTTTCTACCCAAGAAATAGATTACCTAAGCTGTATTCGGCAAAACTTTAAGGAATTTGGGGCCCTCAATACGCTTCAACTTCGTACTTTGTTTGGCCTTTTTAACTTTTTTGATTCGAGCGTTACTGATGAGTCATTTTAGACGAAATGCGCGTCTGGCGTACACAATTTCAATTTGGTATCTATGATGAGTTTATTTATATAGATATTCTTAATGTGAAATAAACCTCTCAATGTTAACCCAGACTTCTTACTTTTGGTTTATCAAACTAACACTTATATTCTATTTTTTTCTGTTTCTGTTTTTTTTTTTACGCCATGTTGAAAATTGTAAACAAGTAGAAAGATCACAAAAGTAATGAATATAAAATTTATATTTACCAACAACAAAATCTCCAAATCCAATTGTTGTGAATGTTATCAAACTATAATAAATGGCTTCTCCGTATGTCCAGCCCTCTAATGTGTGAAATATAGCCGACGGTATCAATATCAGTAGACAAATTATTGTCAAATGTATCAACAAATATTTTAATACTTTTTCCGTTTTGGTATATTTCTCCAAGCATGGTATTGTCTTATTCCTTAAATAACTATTGAATTTCTTTATTTTTTCTGCAATGCCTGCAATCATTAATCCTGTAACTGGAATTCCGATCAATGCAAAAGTTACAATGAAAGCTTGTCCACCTTTTGTTGCAGGTGTTTGATTTCCATATCCTTAAAAACGAAAGTTAAAAGTGAAAAAAAAATAACATTTTATTATTTTACATTTGTTCATTTCGGCACCTTTTATAGCTGACTTTACGGTATGAATTTTGCTCAGTGTTGACGGCCGGACGGTGACCTTTAGTCCCTTACATGTATCCAGGCCATGTGACTCCTGGTGGATATTTGTGTCATTTGCAATCATACCACGCCTCCATATTTGTATATTAGTTTTTGGCATCCTTGAATTTTGGTCTCTGGTGGATAGCTGTCTCATTGGGAATCATACCACATCTTTTTTATATTAATTGTGCCATTGTTTCCATAATAAAACATGATGACAGATGTAGCACAAAACTCATTTGTAAAAATTATACCCACTATATGACTGAGGGATATAACTGCAATAACCTTGTCCGTCTGTCCGTTCGATCGTCCGTTCCTGGCGTCCGATGAATACTTTCGTCCTACTTTTTTCAGGTAATACTAATACTTGGTCAGCGCTTGACAGTGATGAGTTGTAATGTGAGACATCTATACATTCTTTATGCCGATACTTTGAACTTTTCAATATGTTGAATTAATCTAATACTTTCGTCACAAATTTCTCAAGAACTACTAAACAGAGTACCTTAATACTTGGTCAGTAGCTTGACAGTGCTAATAACGTGTGCACGCTTTTTGGATCTGTCAAACACCTACTTCTGATGGTTTTTTATACTTTGAATTACGAGTTGGATATGCTTTGCACGACAGCTCGTGTACTTCTTGTTTGGTTTACAGTTACACTGCATGGCTTGTAATATTGGACCTCCCTGAATAAAGTAAAATTCATTACTTACTAATCAAGAAGTTTTGAAAAAATACCCTTTTAGTTGACTCTGTGAAATGAAAGTATTCAGGCTTCGTTTGACAAGATTATTAAATGATATAGTCTATAAACCCTTCTTAACTCCCTAAATAAAGGTATATGCAGACGTGCGATAGGAAAGACACTATTTTTGTAGCCAGAACACTACGACAATCAATCTATCATTCTACTTCATATGACTTTAACTGTATGATCGGATAATGAATTTTTTCTGACGAATTTTATTTTCCATTTATATATATATATATATATATATATATATAAGCATTTTATAATTGTGAACAGATGGTCCTCTTACACGAGTTTATCTTCAGACTTTTTGTTCAAATTAACAAGTAAACTATCAAAGGAGCATTAGCTGTCAAATACATATTCCACCTCATTTCTCATATTTGATTTATAACATAGTAAAACGTACATCCAAATTACAAAAAGTCTTAAATAAACAATTAACAATGCATGGACTCGATACTATGTATCAATATTTCGTGTG